TTCTGTTTGTCTTTGTCTTTTTTCTCTCTCTTTCTCTTTTGTTTCTCTCTCTGTCTCTGTCTGTCTGTATGTTTGTCTGTCTGTGTCTATCCATCTATCTTTGTCTGTCTGTCTGTCTATCATTTTTCTGTTCATTTCTTCATGTTTCAAAGAATGTGGGAATAGCAGTTTTGTACAGCCCTTCGTATTAGCTCACATCAATAAAAAAGTTTGTCAGTTTTACAATATTTTTTGTTCTATATTCTAAACTAACACACACACACGCACACACACGCGCGCGCACACACACACACACACACACACACACGCACACACACACACACACACACACACACACACACACACACACACACACACACACACACACACACACACACACACACACACACACACACACACATTCCCTCCCTCTATTTATCTCACTCCCCTTTCCCTCCCTCCCTCACCCCTTTCCTCCTTTCCTCTCCCCCTCACTCACTCACTCATTCACTCACTCACTCTCTCCCCCCCCCACTCACTCACACTCACACTCTCACTCACACTCACACTCACACTCTCACTCTCACTCACACTCACACTCTCACTCACACTCTCACTCACATTCACACTCTGACTCTCACTCTCACTCACACTCTCACTCACACTCTGACTCTGACTCTGACTCTGACTCTGACTCTGACTCTGACTCTGACTCACACTCACTCACTCACTCGTGACTTACCTCTGAACTTGCCGCCGCCATGCACGTCCGCAATTTATCCAAGGTTTCAGTATCTTCCTTGTCGCAGCCTTAATCAGAATTAAAAAAAAAATTAAAATGACTAAAAACGTCAAATTTGTATCCATTGTACCCCAAAAATATTATTCGAAAATCCAAAAAGGATAAGGAAACAGGTATACGAGTTAATCTCACCTGTGATATCCTCTAGACAACCACGCAGTGCTTCGATAGGTTGCTGAGACACATCGATCTCCCGCAAGCACGTTTTGCATTCCGAGTCATCTGCTGACGTTTTACACAACAACCCTGTGAAGAGGCGTAGGAGTGTTCATCATCAAGTGTATTCTGAACTTACAAGTGTACATATACAAACATACATATCTTTCTATCAAGACTCCAGGGCACTAGATAACGTCCAGGTTTCACTTCCATAGAGCAAAGCTGGCAGTATCAAGGCCTTAAAGACATGGAGCTTGGTCCTCCTGCATAGGTATTAACCTCCAAATATTCTTGTTGACTGGTTCATGGCTCCTGTTGCCAGACCAATTCGTCTACTGACTTCCTGGTCTAACAGCCAAGAGATATGGTCTACACTAACAAGGCACATAAAGCTCTCTGTGACTTCAACGTTCTTATCGCAAGCATGTATTGACTGAAAATCCTGGATCTTGGTCTTGGTCCAGGAGACCTCTAGACCTAACGGCTTCGCCTCATTGTTGAATGCATCAAGCCATCACCAGTGATTCCAGAGACTCGGACTCAGATATTGTCAGCAAAGTCGAGATCGGTGACCTTGACTTGCCAAGAATGAATCCAGACTGCTTCGGTCTACGGTGCCTTAGTAGGTGGTCTATTTCCCCAGCCTTTAGCAGTTCGGCAGGGATATCATATATAACTGCAGCTTGACCATCCTGCAGCTTACATATGATCTCCCTAATCTTATATATATATATATATATATATATATATATATATATATATATATATATATATATATATATATATATATACATATACATATATACATATATATATATATACATATACATGTTTACATATTTATAAACACATTCAGCCGTATACACACACACACACGTGTGTGTGTGTGTGTGTTTGTGTGTTTGTGTGGATAATTTACACGCGGAGAGAAAAAAAACAACAACAATAGAAACAAGGACACTTGGAATGCAAAGAAAAGAAAAACTTACGGAGACACTTAGTGGCTGCAGCGTAATATTGCCCATCGAAAGACAAGCTGTCTCCCGGGGCCTCCAGACACAGAAGCACAAGCAAACACAGCAGTTTCATTTCCTGTGTTCTGCAGTGACAGAGAAAGCACATGAATCTAAAATAAACAGGCACAGGGAAAATCTAAGCACATTTATTCTTACGTGATATGTACTCATAATTTGACAATCATGATTAGGTATTAGGAAGACTGTACGTGGTAGAGTATGGAAAGGACAGTGGTAGCGGTACTGATGATAACGATGATAGTGATGATGGCTGCAGTAATGATAAGAATGAAAGTAATATAGATAGAAAGGATAACAACATAATGGTAATTGTGGTGATAACAGTAGCAAAGGTAATGGTAATCGAAAACACAATAAGGGCAATGGGCATTAAAGCAATGGTAATGAAAATGAGAGTAATGGTACTAGTGAAAAAGATCGTGATGATACTATAGGTAATTATCAGTTATTATCTTAATACAGCACCAAAGCAAATAAAAAAACTAATAATAACGTTCTTAATTCCAGTCACAATACCATTATC